TTAGAACGTAGGATGTCGGAGAACTGGAGAGGCCTCAGAACGTGGAATGCGGGAGCTGAGAAGGGCCTGAAAATCTTAACTGTCAGAGTCGGAAGGGACCTTGGGACCTAGAACATTAGAACAGAAGGAGCCCATGTCTGTAGAACCCAGAAGCGCAGGGCTTCCGCTGCTAGGAAGGACCAGGCGATGTCTGGGGTGGGAGAGCCTGCTTCCCTGGAGTGTCCCCGCCTTTCCCAGGTCAGCCTCCCTGGTGACACGTTGTTTGCCGGTCCCCAGTGCCCTGTATCTCCTCGTTGCCCCCAGCACGAGGGGAAGAGGATGGAGGGCCTTTCTCATGTTTTCATGCCTCAGTTTCCCAGGGGGCAAGTGCGACCCTCAGGACCAGGATATTGTTGACACAGCTCTCCGGGAGACGAGGGAAGAGCTTGGCCTGCCCATCCAGGAGGAGAACGTGTGGGGTGTCATGAGGCCAGTGAATGACCGGGTAAGCACTGCCCCTCCCTGGGACCCCGACCAGGAGACAGAAAGGGCCTCTGGTCCGGCAGCATGGCTTCCTGCATGGTCTCTCCACCCTCCAGAGATGTGGAGCCGGGCTCCTGCATTGAGCCAGATGAAGTCTGAAGGAGCAGCCTGTGCCCCTCAGGAAAGGTGGCCTTTACTTGGATCCTGGCTGTGCTCTGCTGTATCTTTGGCTGCCCTTCCATGGGCAGCCGCTAGATCCGAGGTCAGGAAGACCTGGGTTCAAATCCTGCCTCAAGCATTGTGTGACCTTGGATGCTTCATTGCCACCTGCCTCAGTTTCCTTTTCTAGAAGATGGCTTCCAGGGTCCCTTCCTGCTCTAAACTTGGGATCCTTCTGCTTACAGAAAAACTTCATCGTTGTCCCAGTCATTGCCCAGGTGGGGCCCCTGGAGTCTCTGGACCTCATGCCTAACCCTCAGGAAGTGAGTGGGCCCCCTGCCGTCAGGGCTGGTAGCCCCGTCCCCGCCAGCCCGGAGGCCTCCCCAAGCCCGGCCCTGCCCAGCGCACTCCCTGATGCAAACATCTGCTGCGTGTGAGCCCTGGGCTCAGCCCCAAACCTGAGAGACGATGCGGTGCCTGCCCTCCCAGAATGAAAGGCGCTCTGTGCTGGGCAGCATGAGGGGGGTTAGCGCTCTCCCAGCGCGGAATGGCCTGCCTGCCATGGGAGGGGGTGGACTTCCCCTTTGAACAAAGGCTGGGTAATCACCAGCTAAGACTGTTCCGGAGAATGTCCTGAATCACAGGTGGCTTGGGCTAGCCGGCTTCAAAGGGACCTTCTGCTGTTGTGGTCCTGTGTGACGGGGAACTCACTACCTTACAAAGCAGCCCATTCCACTTTGGGACAGTTAGATTCAATCCAGCAGGCATTTTCTATGTACAAAGCTCCCTAGAAAAAAGGTTGGGTTTTTTCTTCCTTATATTGGCCAGAATCTGCCACACACAGGTGAGTATAGTCCAAGTAGGAGACAGTACGTGCCCCCCCCAGGAGTCCAAGGGCAAGGCCCTCGCCAGCCAGGCCGCTTTCCCTTCTCTGTACTGCTCAGGACTCCCCACGGTATTACCCTTGAATGGCTAGTAAATGTGTTGGACAGAGTCCAGCGCCGGCGGTGCCCACTGTCCTTTGTTACCAGGTGGATGACATCTTTACCATGCCGCTGGCCCACCTGCTGCACCCCCGCAACCAGGGCTACACCCACTTCTGCCATCGAGGCCATTACAGCTACACGATGCCCATCTTCCTGCATGGCCCCTACCGCATCTGGGGCCTCACGGCCATCTTCACGGAGCTCACGCTGGAGATGCTGGTGCCAGGCACTTACCACCGCATAGCCTGTTTTGGTGGGCAGCAGAGGAGAGGAGGGACCAGATCATAGAGGGCGGAAAGTGGAGCTGTGCGGAGAGGCCGCGGAGAACTTTGCCTCTTCCTCCTCTGCCTTTGCGGTAGCTGAGGTGCCGAGCCAGCTGGGGAATCCAGTACAGCGAGGGCTCTTTGTCTTTCCAAGTCAGCCGCGAGCCAGGCTTTCACACAAACGGGAGGAAGCCAGAGGTGCTGTCTCTGCGCTGCTGTGGGAGGTGGGCAGAGCCTTCACTCAAAGGATTGGGGGAGTTCCTCTCTCTGATCCCTTGGGTTGGGGGGCCGCTGAGCTCGGCCCAATCTCACCGTCTTTACTGGCCCTGTTGGCAGTTCCTGGAACACACGCCCCATCTCCTGGCTCCGTGGCTTTGTATGGATGGTCTGTGGCGGTCTGTCACACATTAGAATGTCAGCTCCTTGAGGGCAGGGCCTGTTTTTTTGCCTTACTTTGTGTCTCAGTGCATAGCACAGGGAGTTGGACGCACAGCAAGCACTCTGACTGCCTGGAGACCTATCCCACCATCACCTCCAAACAACCAGCTTAACTCCATCACGGTTCGGTGTAATAAATGCTGCCTTCTTTGATCTGAAGAGTTGTCTCTGGCTCATTCTCCAGTAGCATGGAAACTCCCTGAGGGGAAGGGTCCTGTTTTATTCTGTCTTTGGATCCTGTTGAGTTGTTCCGAGCAGGTACTCAATAGGTATTCCTTGGGTTGGATTCCCTACCTCACCAGCCCAAACAGACACAAACCAAGTATTCCAAACAACCCCTGGATCAGCTTGACCTGCTGGATGGGAAGGGACCTCAAAGGTCATCTGGCCCAACGGCTTCCTGATCAGGAATTCCATCTGAATCATCCTGTCTCGACTTGAAGGTCTTCGGGGAGGGGCAGCCGCCCATTCCACTTTGGGATGGCTCACAAACACCCTCCAGTGGATTGTTTTCAGACAAACTACTGTCCAGCCACACTTCATGAACTTGTATTTGTGTAGTTGATTTTTTAAACCCAAGGATGTAAGACAGTATCTATATTATACCTTATTCAATTTGGTCCAGCATTCTAGACAATTGAGAGCTTTTCGGATCGTGTTTCATTCATCAAACACGATAATTATCCCTCCTACCTTCCTACTTTTGTGTCTTCTGAAAATTTGATAAGCGTGTCTTCCACACTTTTTATCCGTATCTTTGATTAAAATATTGACTAGAGTGTGCCCCTTTCAGACCATAAACAAGAAAAAATAAACATCAGAATCTAACATTAGAAAAATTAGACATAACTAGTGATTACTGAATGAAGACAGAAAGAAATTTATATACTAAGCTGTATATTGCACTTTTACAATTAACTATATGTTGTCATAAAGATCTTCAAAAAATGTCAAAACAGGGATATTAAACATTTCATTTACTGACCACATTGTGTCAAATGTTGTGCAGAAACCCAGGTCTACCATGTCCCCAGTATCTGCCCTCTGAGTAATCACCCTGGCCAAAAGAAAGATCAGTCTGACACAACCTTTTTTTTTTAATTAATTTTTTTTGATTTATCAATAATCACTTCCATATGCTTTTGAGTTTAAAATTTTTCTCCCCTTTCCTCCCCACCACCCTCCCCAGGACGGCGCACAATCTGATATAGGCTATACATTTACATTCATATTAAACATATTTTCATATTAGTGATGTTGTAAGTAGAAATTAAAATCAATAAGAAGAACCATCAGAAAGAGGAAACAAAACTCAACAGAAGAGAAAAAAAATAACAATTCAGCTTCCATAGTTCTTTCTTTGGATGTAGATAGCATTTTCCATCACAAGGCCTCCAGGGATGTCTTAGATCCCTGTATTGCCAGGAAGGGTTAAGTTTATCAATATTAGTCATCACACATCATAGCTGTTATTGTGTACAACGTTCTCTTGGTTCTGCTCACTTCACTCAGCATCAGACCATACAAGTCTTTCCAGGTTTTTCTGAGGTCAGCCTGTTTATCATTTCTTATAACACAGTAGTATTCCATCACATTCATATACCACAACTTGCTCAGTCATTCCCCAATTGATGTGCATCCTCTCAATTTCCAATTCTTTGCCACCACAGAAAGAGCTGCTATGAATATTTTTGTACATGTAGGTCCTTTTCCCATCTGTGTGATCTCTTTGGGATATAGCCCTAGAAGTGCTATTGCTGGGTCAAAGGGTATGCACATTTTTATAGCCCTTAGGGCATAGTTCCAAATTGCTCTCCAAAATGGTCGGATCATTTCACAACTCCACCAACAATGCATTAGTGTTCCAATTTTTCCACATCTTCTCCAACATTTATCATTTTCCTGTTTTGTCACGTTGGCCAATCTGATAGGTGTGATGTGGTACCTCAGAGTTGTTTTGATTTGCATTTCTCTAATCAATAGTGATTTAGAGCATTTTTTCATATGACTATAGATGGCTTTAATTTCTTCATCTGAGGACTGTCTGTTCATATCCTTCAACCATTTATCAATTGGGGAATGACTTGTATTCTTATAAATTTGACTTAATTCTCTATATATTTTAGAAATGAGGCGCTTATCAGAGAGACTGGTTGTAAAAATTCTTTCCCAATTTTCTACCTTCCTTCTAATCTTAGTTGCATTGGCTTTGTTTGTGCAAAAACTTTTCAATTTAATGTAATCAAAATGATCTATTTTGCTTTTTGTAATGTTCTCTGTCTCCTGTTTGGTCATGAATTCTTCTGTTCTCCATAGATCTGACAGGTAAACTATTCCTTGCTCTCTCAGTTTGCTTATAGTATCAGCCTTTATATCTAAATCATGTATCCATTTTGACTTTATTTTGGTATATGGTGTGAGATTTTGGTCTATGCCTAGTTTCTGCCATACTCTTTTCCAGTTTTACCAGCAGTTTTTTTTTCAAAGAGTGGGTTCTTATCCCAGAAGCTGGGGTCTTTGGGTTTATCAAATAATAGATTACTATAGTCATTGACTACTGTGCCTCGCATACTTAACCTATTCCACTGATCCACTACTCTATTTCTTAGCCAGTACCAAGCAGTTTTGATGATTGCTGCTCTATAATACAATTTAAGATCTGGGATGGCTCGGCCACCTTCCCCTGCATTTCTTTTCATTATGACACGACCTTTTCTTGATGAAGCCATGCTAGCTCCTAGGCACCACTGCTTCCCTTTCCAATGCTCAGAAGACAACCCTTTAATAATAAATATATCCAGCAAAGGACATTGTGGGTGCTAGCTCTCCTAAATCCTCTTTTCCATTAGTACTGCCTTCCCTCCAGACACCCTCCCCCTCATCCCCCACATTCAATCAGCTGCCAAGTCTAGTTGATTCTTCCTCCATATCTCACCTCCTTTCCCTTCTCTACTCACACAACCACTACCCCAAGCCCTCGTCACCTCTCACCCAGCCTAGTGTAACAGCCTCCTCACTGTTGTGCCTGCCTCTCTCCCTTCTCTAATTCACCCTCCTCCCAGCTGCCAGCTCAATACTCCTGATCTGATCATGCCACTCTTCTGCCCAAGATGGTTCCCTACTGCCTCAGGGTAAAACACTGTACAGACATCTCCAGCACTGAAAGTCCTTCACAGTGTGGCTCCAACCTGCCTCTCCGGACTGATTCCATATTCCTCTGTTTCACGTACTTTCCTGGCCAGCCGAACTGCCTTACAGGTGAGGGAAGTGAGGCTCTGAAGGGTTCAGTGATGCGCCATGGTCACTGAGGCATCACAGACTCAGAACTTAAACGTCTCATTTTACCGGGACCAACCATAAAGATCAGCTTCTGCCAGCAGAAATCAAGCTCCCAAGGCCCATTTATGTGAGCTTCTGCTAACAGTGAGGCCATCACTGCCCCAGGAAAAGAGTGGGCTCTCTCTTCCTGAAAGAGAAAGAAAGTGGGAACCTTGAAAGGGGCAAGAAGCGAGCACGAGGAGGGAGGTTTGGGCGCTGTGCAGTTTCCGCACTGTGCAATAAGGGGGAAGGAATGGAACCGAGAAGTAGAGAGATGAAGGGGAGCTGGGCATCAGCACCACCACACCAGTGGCCAGCGCCATTCTTACTACTGGGAGGGGAGGGGCTAAACCCAGCAGAAGCCGCCCAGAGCCCAAAGGGGAGAGACTAGAGCTGTCTGTGTCTGTCAAGAGCTGAAGGTGACGTAGCCCTCTCTCATCACCTCTCCTCCTTCCCAGGAAGAGTGAGTACCCATCCCCACACTTGCTTCCATTCTTTAAAGTTTGCTTAAATCTCTGTTTAATGAACTCTGACTGCCGTATCAGCCCAAGCAGCTCCTAATTTGTATGTATTTCATTACTGCGAATTGCCAGTGATAGGAAATGAATGGACAGTGAGCACACACTCTCTCTCTTCGGTGTTAGGGTCATATTCCAGCTGGGAGCTCTACAACGGAGTGAAAGCGAATCTTACTGATTTTATATTTTGTAACTCCCAAAGCAGGAGAAAATAGGAACCTGGGATGTTCCCTTGACAAAAGCATAAGATTTAAGGGGTGGAAGGAGACTTGGAGAGTGAGGAACAGGAGCTCCCTCCCTCAAAGGCAATGAAGAGTTGGAAATTTTTGCTTTCCCTTTATTCTCTCCTGGCAGGTTCAAAGGGGCCCATCTGATGTGTCAGAGGCAGGATTTGAACCCAGACCAGCCCTCAATCACAGACTTTTTTTTTTTTTGGTGAGGCAATCGGGGTTAAGTGACTTGCCTAGGCTTACGCAGCTAGTAAGTGTTATGTGTCTGAGGCTGGATTTGAACTCAGATTCTCCTGACTCCAAGGCCGGAGCTCCAGCCACTGTGCCACTTAGCTGCCCCTCAGCCAGAGACTCAATCTTTTCTTGTACCACGGACTCCCGTGGTGATCTTCGGAAGCCTGGGGACCCCATTGCAGAATTATGTATGAAATAAAATACGTAAGATGCAAAAGAAACCAGTTATATTAAAATACAGTTATTATAATATTCTTAAAAACAAGTTCACAGACCTACTATCAGGCTACCTCCTACAACATAGATACAAATAAGTTCATACAAAGTAATTTGAGAGGAGAGAGAGAACCAGAGAATGCTACCAAACAGGGTGGGAATCAGGGAAGGCTTTATGAAGGAGCTGAGCCTAAGAGGTGTGGCCCACAGTGCCCCACAAGGGGCTCCATCAGACCTGCATTCACCCAGGACTGGAGGGCACCTGATCCCAATGGAAGTCAGGCTTCTCTCTCCCTCCTTCCCTCCCCTCCTCTCCTCTCCTCTCCCCTCCCCCTCTCTTTCCCTTCCTTCCCCTCCCTCCCTCTCTCTCTCCCTCCCACCTCCACTCTGTAATAAACTTCAGGGAAAGCTGAAAACAAAGCATAGGTGGGGCTCCCATCTAGGGTCTCCCCAAAATGTGGGCCACAGGGTTCCTTCTAGGAAAAGTACTCAATATACACAGTAGGTATCAAGTCTGGAGCAACAATTAATTTCCTCTGGCCCAGAAAATGCTCAAGGCACAAAGAACTTGCAGGAACAAGGAGAGGGAACACCAAACATCTCCAGCGGCCCATTCCGGTCACTCTAGTAGGTCCATCAGTCAGTCATCACACAGTGTTGCTGTCACTGTGTGCAATGCTCCCCTGGTTCTACTCACTTCACTCAGCCTCAGTCCATCTGAGTCTTTCCAGGTTTTTCTGAACCCGTGATCTTGAAAGTCTATACAAATGTGAGGGAGGAAGGAAGGAATCCTTAACAGGCCTGGAGAACTGGAAGCCACTCCTTTGTCTGCTCTCCATATCTTGTATGTAGTTACTTACATGTTGTTGTCCCAATTAGAATGTGAGGGCAGAGACTGGTTTTTTGCCTTCTTTGTGTCTCTAGCCCTTAGCACAGTCCCTGGCACATAAGAGCATAATAAATACTTGCTGACTGACTGGTCGGGGTCCAGCCCAGCTCTAGTGCCTCAGTCTATTGCTGTGTGACTGTGGGTCTCTCCCAGGACCCCCGCTTGCCAACAGGTGTGTGAAGGGTGGGACTGGACATCCGGTCTGCCCTTTGAGTCCGATGCTGTCCTGATTCCAACCCTCATCCCCAAAGCCTGGCTAAGTAGATCAACAGGGCAGCCCCTTGGTTCCAGGTTGGGCCCCAGACTGACTCCTGACCACCTTGGAAAGGAGAGCTCCAGAGGAGAGAAGATTCCAGGAGGGGCCCAGGCTCTGGTGGGAAGCTTTCAGTAGAAGAGTGTGGAGGGACAGGGGAAAAGAACTCAGAATAGGGAGGCCCATGCCCCAAGAGTTGAGCCCTAGTAGAAACCAAGGACATTCCAGGCCCGTGGCACCTACAGCACTGGGCTACCGGCCAGGGGATGGTGACCAGGCAGCTAGGAAGAGGTGAGGGGCTTGAAAAGGGGAAGGGAGAAGGGGGGAGGGAGCCAAGTCACCCCCTCCCTCCTCCTACTCCAGCCTGCTGCAGCCCTGTTGGGTCTTAGTGACTGCTTGAGCCTTCTCCCAGCCTTCCCTCCTCTCCCCCTCCAGGCTTCCTGTCCCTCTCTCCTTTATATTTCTCACCTTTGTTGGCAGTTAGCAAGAAAATAAATTACTTTTTAAAAATATCTCCATTTCACAGGGATCATGTCGGAGGTGTCTGGGGGAGGGAAAGTCCCAGACCACTGGGGGCTGGAGGCTCAAAGTCAGGTCTCAAAAGAGGAGAGGGAGCTGGGGGGAGGGGCAGATGGGAGGGAGGGGCCTGAGAGCCCGGAAAAAAGTCCTCTCCCACAGACCCCAAGAGACAACATCCTTTGACCCAGTCCTCAGAGCACGTGTGTGTCATGTATGAGGGTGTGAGAATGCCTCTCGGTGGGGCTGTGTGATGGGAAGGAGAGGGGGTAGAAGCATGGGGTGTCTAGGGCTGTCTGGGGAAGGGAAGGGGGCTCCTGGGCTCTGGCATAGGCAAGGTCTCTCCCAGAGTGTTTGTTCTGTGTCAGTCACACGCCTTTCCCTGTGAGTGCGTGTGTGTGTCCGTACGCGTGTGTCAGTGTCCAAGCCCGACAGTGGCCCTGACTCTGGAGTCATCGCCTACGGGGTGATCAGTAGGTGTGTTTTTCAGTGTATGAGGTGGGGGGGGCACGCAGTCGGTGGGTACCAATGTCTCAATATCAGATGTTAGTGTATTGGGAGGGCGGCGAGGAGCGGGGTCTAGTGTCTTAGTGTGGCTCAGGCTGTCTGTGTGCGTGTGTGTGTGCGCGCGTGCGCCCGAGCGCCTGTCCGTGTGTGTGCGCCCGCGTGTGCCTGTCCGTGTGTATCCCTGCAGCGCTGCGCCGGAGGACACGGGGCGGTTACAGACACGGTCCAGGCTGGAGCCCGGGTAGCAGACAGACACGCAGCAGCAGCGCTGGTGACGGCAGTAGAGGCAGCTGGCAGGCTTCGGACCCGGAGCCCGAAGGCGGTCGGTCCAGTTCCGTGCTTGTCCGTCAGTTCGAGGGCCAGGTAAGTCCTCTCGCCCCCTGGGACACAGAGGAGAGCACACCCCCACGATCCCCCCAGGAGACCCCAGAAGCCCCCGACCTTGCCTCTATCTCAGTCTCCCAGGAGGGAAAGTCCCGTCCGGGACAGTATCCTCCCAAACTAGGGCCAAGACCCCCAGCCTCTCCTAACGCCAAACCTCCCCCATCCCCATACTCCAATAGGTAAGAGATCCCCAACTGCTGCCCAGGACAGAAACCTCTGGCAGACATGCACCCAAACTAGGACCTGTGCACCCCTGGGCTAGCCCTCCACTGAGCCCTCCCAACCTTCCCTCCAGCTGCTGCCCAAGAGACTGCCCTCTAAAAAGACCTCTCCCCAGAAAGGAGACTTTCCCTCCACAAGGTGACCCCACAGACCCCCGGCCAAATACAAACGTATTTATCCAACAGGATGGCCAACCCTCCACAACAGACCAGAACATAAGCTTACCTGGGGTCTGGTCCTCCCCTGCCCAAAATGCACCCACCCCCAGTCCCTAGAGTCCGGTTTCCGGCCCCATCCCCTAGCTGTAGCTGAGCTGACAAGCTGAAACCGCTTCGATTCACTACAAGCTGCCAGCCAGCACCCGAGCTTGAGACAAAGCCCCAAGGGTCCTGTCCTCCTGAAGGGGCTCCCCTCCAGTCTAGCCAGCAGGGTTCTGGGTCCACTCCCAGAGCACTCCCTTCTGTCTAGTCCTTTCATTACACTGACCTTTCCCACCATATTGAACCCTCCCTTTCATCCAGCCTTCTTGCCATTGACGTCTCTCCTCTATCTGGCCCCTCCTCACATTGACCTCTCCCAGGTCCTGCCCACTCCCCTTGACCCTTCCCCTTTGTCCAACCTTCCTACCATTGACCTCTCTCCTCCATCTGGCCCCTCCTCACATTTACCCTCCCCTGCGTCCAGCCCCCAACTCACACCAGGGCCTCCCTGACCTTCCACCAACTCTCTCAGGGGACCTTCTGGCCTTCTGCAGCCCTGGCCATGGCTGGCGCACGTTTGGAGAAGGTCACCATGCAGGAGCATATGGCCATCAACGTGAGCCCAGGCCCCATCCGCCCCATCCGCCAGATCTCCGACTACTTCCCCCATTTCTACCCCTTCGCTCCTGCCCTTCTCCGTCCCCGGCCAGCCCCCCTGCCTGCACTTCCCAACGGTCCAGCCCCAGAAACAGCCTTGGGTAGCCCAATGGAGGAAAATGGAACCCCAACAGCAAAGCCTGGAGGCTCTCAGCTTCCCCAGTGCCTGGAGGAGGAGCAGGATGGAGACTCAGATGAGACCAGTGAGTGCGCAGACCCTGGGGTCTGCCAGGGGGTAGGAAGGGAAGGAGGGAGGGGGAGGGAGCCCCATCACTCTGCCCTCCCTCGTCCTTGTCTGCCTGAGCAAGGCCTGGCAAGAAGCTCCCTAGCCAGGTACCTAGCCCAGGAAGGAGGGCTCAGATGACAGCACCTTGAATAGGTCAGTCCCACATTTCTAACATATACACAACCCATCAACCCACCTGCGTTGGAGCTGCTCCCATCTGGAGCTGTGTCAGGGCTGCCTGAGAGAAGGTGACCCTACCTTGGGCCCTCGATGATCAGCTGGTTCCATTGGGGTGGGGGTAACAGCAGAGCGAAGGCTGGAGGTCACATGGATGTAGGGAGCTGAATCAGAGGAAGATCCTGGGGACCCCACCCCCATCTGTGCTGCCTTTAAGAGTCCCGTAGAAGACAGGGGCCCCCCAGTCCAAGTGTAGACACTGGACTCCTGGTAAGTCATCCATCTTCTTGGAGCCTTTCAGGTTCTGATCTAAGCCAAAGGTTCTGAGACCTCCCTCAGCCCCCAGTTAGTCAATAAACACTCATATAAGTGCCTACTGTGTGGCAGGCACTATGCTCAACACTGGACAGACACAGAGAGACCTGAAGAGCTGATAATCTAATAAGAAAGACAACATATAGTTATGTACAGACCAGCTCTAGACAGGATAAAGGAGCAATAATCCACAGAGAGAAGGCACTAGAACTGGGGACGATTGAGAGAGGCTTTCTGGAGAAGGCGGGACTTCGGTTGGGACTCCAAGGAGGCCAGGAGAGCCCGGACCTCATGGATGGCCCCTCTCCCTCCCCAGCTGCTCTGGGCTCCCTTGAATTCACCCTCCTCTTGGACCAGCAAAACTGTGTCCTGCACTGCACAATCCATCGGGCCAAGGTGAGGGGGTGGGGCTGGGGGGGCCTGAGGCTGCAGCAACTCCCCCCGTCCCCCTAGCCCCGAGGTCCCCTGGCACCCTCTGAAACTGCCGGCCATCTCTCTCTGTCCTCCAGGGTCTGAAGCCCTTGGACTCAGGCTCCATCGATACCTTCGTGAAGGCAAATCTGTTGCCAGGAACGAGCAAGGTAAATGGCAGGGAAGCGCTAGGGAAGGGGGGAGCCGGAGGGAGCCCCAAGGGCTTCATCCTCGAGGAGAGGGAGCAGAGAACCAGAAAGGGGACAGACACTCGAGTGAGCTGCAAGGCCAGGTCCTCTGGGTCTGGTGGAGCACACAGCCTAGGGATAGGGGACTGGACTTTTTCCCAGCTGCCTTCTCTCAGCTACCATCTTGCCTTTGCCCGCAAGGAATTTATAGGATGTCAGGGAGAGAAGCCTGGTGGATGTAGAATGATTGAAGGTCCCTTCTAACAAAAGTTCCATAGTCACCTGCCTTAGAGCACATTTCAGGGCACTGGCTGTAATTGCCTGAGATCAGAGAAGGCTGAGGGCAGCTAGGTGGCGCTGCAGTGGATAGAGCACCGGCCAGAGTCAGGGAGACTCATTTTCATGAGTTCAAATCCCACCTTAGACACGTTCTAGCTGTGTGACCCTGGGCAAGTCACTTAACTCTCTTTGCCTCAGTTTCCTCATACGTACAATAAGCTGGAGAAGGAAATGATAAACCACTCCAATATTAAATTTAAATTAAAAGACGCTTGCTCCTTGGAAGGAAAGCTATGGCAAAGCTGGACGGCAGACTGAAAAGCAGAGATGTCGCTTGCTGACAAGGGTCCGTATAGTCAAAGCTGTGGTTTTTCCAGTAGCAGCGTATGTCTGGGAGAGCTGGACTATAAGGAAAGCTGAGCGCTGCAGAATCAATGCTTTCTAATGCTTCTGAGAGTCCCTTGGACAGCGAGGAGGGCAAATCACTCAGCACTTAAAGAAATTAATTCAGACCTCCCACTAGAAGGACAAACACTGAAGTTGAAGCTTAGATACTTTGGTCACATAATGAGAAGATGGGACTCATTGGAAAAACCCCTGATGTTGGGAAAGATTGAAGGCAAAAGGAGAAGGGGACGGCAGAGGATGAGATGCATGGATGGCGTCACGGAAGCAACGAACATGAGCTTGGACGGACTTTGGCGGACAGTGCAGGACAGAAGGGCCTGGTGTGCTGTGGGCCACAGGGTCACACAGAGTCAGACACGACTGAACAACAGCATGATAAGGCTGAGATCCTTGTGGGCTGCAATGATCAAGGAAGGCTTCCTGAAGGAGGTAGAGTTTGAACTGGGCTGGGAAGGATGAGTAGGATTTTGTGGGGAGGGGAAAGGGTGTTCCAGGTGGAGGCCACAGCCTAAACAAAGGCCTGTGGGCAGCATGAAGCATGAACGTGGGAATAACAATGGTGAGGTGAGTGAAACAGGAAAGCAATGGCAGCTAAGGCTGGAAGGGAGGTTGGGGCCTAGAATGCTAGAGAAAGGATTTTGGATTTAAACTGTTGGCAAGAGGAAGCCTTTAAAGGTTTTTGGGTGAGGACATAACAATAATGATAATGTTACATTTAAATAGCATTTCCAAATTTTAAGGACATCTTGTAAATGGGAAGTACATGTTATTTCCCCCATTTTACATATGAGGAAACTGAGGCTTTGAGAGGCAGGATTGGAGCCAGGTCCTCTGCTCCAGACTCAGACCCTTTCCACTGTGGCACAATGTTTGAGGAAGATGGGCAGGAGGAAGGGGATAAGGACGTGACTAGGGCAAAAAGAGCAGTCAGGAGACTGTTATGATCATCAGAATAAGACACCACTGATGGGGGCCTCATGTGGTCCTGGTCCGATCGTGGTCACCGTCATGAGTGTCATAGTGGGAGGAGCACATTCCAGAGAGATTTCAGAGGGAAGAACAAGACTTCGTGTGGGCAGTGAACGTGCCTGGGCTGGCCTTTCCAGACAGGAAACAGAGGAAGGCCCCACTCTGAACCACAGAAAGGGTGCTCTGCTACCCAGAGGCCGAGGATATTCGTTGCCCAAGGCCTCCCATGCACCAGCCCAGAGGGCAGGTACAATGCAGTGGCCAGGGTGGGGAGCTTCCTAGCCCTTCTGAGCTGGTCCCCGGCCCCCTTCTCAGCCATCCTGCCCTGTGCCCCCCAGGCAAGCCAGCTGCGGACCCGAACGGTGCGGGGCAGCCGGGGGCCGCGCTGGGATGAGACACTTACCTACCACGGCTTCACCTGCCAGGATGCCGGACGCAAGTCTCTTCGGTGAGCCCCCTGCCACATGTTCTCTGCCCGGGGGCCCTGGCCAGGCCTGCTGGGCCTCTCGGGAGTCCTTTAACGTTCAGAGGGAGCCCCCAGGTTATCTTTCAGTCTTTCTGCTGGAGCCGTCTGCATCCCCCAGGCACAACTTTCTTGGATGGTACCCCCTCACAGTGGGACATAGTGGGTGATTAAGCTGCAGTACATTCATAGCAACCAAAGGTGGTGCATGAGCTTCGCCAACAGGGATGGGTGGGAGAGGTGGGACTGGAGGCTCCAGCAGTAAGAATGGGGGAAGAGCCCCCAGGGGACTGGGGAGGATTGAGCCCTGGAGATCCCTTACATCCCCAAGCCATGCTCCAGAAGGAAAGTGTCTGTAAAGCGCCTGGTAAACCTCAGCCAGTGCTCCATACACGCCAGCTATCATGACTGCCCCGCCATGGGTCTGGCTGTCGGCCCTCGGGATAGCTGTGGCCGTGAGCCTTCCAAGCTTCCCAGAGCTCACTGCCATGGAGTGTCACGGGGGAGGTGATGCTGCAGAGGCCACAAGAGGGCTTTGGCAGCATCCACTGAGGGATGGAAACATGAGACCAGCTCCTTGTTCTTACGGGGCTTTGATCAGCCTAGGAGGGCCGCTAAGACAGGAAAGCCACCCTCTCAACGGCAGAAAGGGACACACTGGATTTAGGTAGAAGGAGGCAAGCCCTCCCATGTACCTACCAGGAGGGCACTATGGAATGGCCAGGGTCAGCCAGGGGCCAAAGTAGCTAGACTCTCCCCAAAGTACAACCTGACTCAGAGCCAGAACTAGGGTGAGGCGATCAGAATGCTTCTCCAGGGTGCTGAAATTTATAGAGGCACGGGCATTTTTAGTCCTTCAGATGCACTGAAATAATCAGAGCTTCACAGCCACTTAAAAATAACTGGGGAGCTATCAGATGGACACTCCCTCTGCCCCTCCCCGCCCCGCGGCAGCTTCCCTGTTGCTTTTTCTCCCACTGTTCTTGGATCTTTGCTTTACCTCCCTTCCTCAGCTCTGCCAACAGCTGCATTGAAAACAAGGTTATGCCCTTCGCTCTCAGTGTAGAATCCCCCGGGGAAGGGCGGAATCCCTGGGTAGGGCTCGACTTTGAAGCTGTTCTAGCCTTGAGAAGCCTGGGAGCTGAGGGAGATGGGAGAAATGGGGGACAGAGAACAGCGGGATAGAGACAGGCTAGGAGACAAAAAGTGTGGACATGGGAAGGGGGTGGAGCTGGGCAGAGGGAAGGCAGAGATGGGCAGAGGAAGGGTCCATAGCCCTGGGAGAGGGGCTAGAGACTGGGCAGAACCTGGAGAAAGCTGAGCAGTGACCGGGACCGGGATCTGGGACCAGGCTGTGTGTGTGTGAGGAGTCCCGCCTGCGGAGGCGGGCAGAGCCCCTGGGTGAGCTCCGAGTGCCCCTGAAGAAGCTGGTGCCCAACCTGACCCGAAGCTTCAACATCTGCCTGGAGAAGAGGCGCTTGGTGAGATGGGCTGGGCTGGGGGTACAGCCAAAGTATGAGGCCAGGGCGGGGGCAGGGAGACATCCGAGATAACTCCGGGAGAGGGGGGCCGGCAGGGGCCCTTAGGACAGGGTGAGCAGGAGCCCAGGGCCCCAGGGCTGACACTTCTGCCCTCTGGGTTTTCAGACCAAGAGGCCCAGCAGCCTGGACACTGCCCGGGGCATGTCCCTATATGAGGAGGTAGGTCCACCGGGGCTGGAGCTCCCCCATCCGCCTGTCGCTCTGGGGCCTATGTGAGGCTTCTGTGAGCAGAGGCCTGGCTGCAGCTGGGCCAGGCCCCCACGTGGCTCTCCAGCAGCTAATTCTATTTTGGGCAGAAGCTTCAGGGCCTTCCGGCTTCCTTTTTGATGCTAATCACTTGGACGTGGCTTCCTTTTTGATGCTAATCACTTGGACACGGTCTCTCCTCCCATGAATCTTACTCACAGACTGCACCCAGAGGGACAGCTGGGGGAGGGCAGGATGAAAAGAGAGGGGATGAGGGCACCCGAGGATGGGGACCCCACGAGACCCAAACAGTTCTGGGATTAGGACGCCAGTGTCAGCAGGGAGTAGGAGGTGGTCAGGGCTGGTGTAGTGCAAGGGGTAACTGGGCTTGAAAGTCAGGCCCTGTGTACTCTGGGGTGGGCTGTGGGGATCGCGGAGGCTTGGGATAAAGAAAGGAGGGGGCCAGGCCTCTCAGAGGGCTGCTAGGCCTCGGGGAGCAGACAGAAGAAATCTGGGGGCTGCCCTCCAGACCCACACCAAACCACATAATCCCACAGCCCCAGGCCCTTCTGATGGGCAGACTCAAGTCTGTGAGCCTGCCCAGGGAACAAGGGGTCCTCTAAAAGCATTCCTCTCATCCCCAGCCTGTATCCTAAAGGCTTTGGGTAGGGGACCCTCAGCTTGACCAGGGCTTAGACTAAAGGCAATAGAATGTTAATAGAAGAGCTCTTAGAATGTGGGATGTCAGGGCTGGGAGCGACCTTAGAACAGGGAATGTCAGGGCTGGGAGAGGCCTGAGGACAGGGAACATTGGCAGGGTCAGACACACTTTGCCTGTAACACCAAATACAACTCCCCACCGCATCTGAAGCCCCCCAGTCCGGCTCCATTTGGAACTATTATCTCGCATGTTGCCCTTTGTGAGATCTGCACTCCAGTCAATGTGGCCTACTGACTCCCAAGTCAATAGTCCATCTCTGGCCTCCAGGCCTTTGCAGAGGGTGTCCTCTGCCTGCCTGCCCTCCCTCAGAATCCTTCTGTTCCTTTAAGGCTCAGCTTAAGGAACTGAGCACCTGAATGTCATCAAGTCCATTGGCAGATGGGGATACTGAGGCCCAGAGAAGGGAGGGGAGTTTCCTGGGTCCCACAGGGTGTTACAAAGCAGGGACAGTCTGGGCTTCTATCCACTATGCCACTGGCTTTAGGGAGCTCTCTGGGGTCCCCTCCCCTCCTCACTGCTGCGGCCCTGCCCTGCCCCCTTATGTACAGACCATGTCATTACCGCTTCCACTGGAGAGGGGCAGAGCTAACTGGGAGATGCCTCGAGATGCCCCGTTTGGTGTGAGGGTTCACTTGGGTACAATTCAGCCAATTTGACTCCACCCACATTTAAAGGGTCCCTGTGCTGGGGCTGGGAAAGGCTTTTGTGACTCGTCAGACACTCTGGATTGTCCCCCGGGGGACCCGGTGACCAGGCCCCCTGCCCACACTCGTCCTGCAGGAGGTGGAAGAGACTGGAGAGGAGCGGGGCCGGATTCTGCTGTCGCTGTGCTACAGCTCCCAGCGGGGGGGCTTGCTGGTCGGGGTCTTACGCTGCGCCCACCTTGCCCCCATGGACGCCAATGGGTATTCGGACCCCTTTGTGCGCATGTGAGTGAGGTGGGTGGGCTGAGACCTGGGTCACTAGGATCCAAACACCCCCCTGCCGCCAGCTGGCAAAGTCAGCGGCCACAGGCAGAAAGATCCCCCCACCCACAAACCCCTCGTCCCTCAGTTTCCTCCGACCAAACACGGGTAAGAAGTCCAAATACAAGACGACCGTCCGGAAGAAGACCCTGAACCCCGAGTTCAATGAGGTGAGTGGGGAGCCAGGCCTGGCACCGGGCCCCTGCCCAGGAGGTGGCCCATGGGGCCCTCGAGTGACAGGGCCGTGTTCGCAGGAATTCTTCTACGCGGGCCAGAGGGAGGAGCTCGCCCAGAAGACCCTGCTGGTGTCCGTGTGGGACTATGACCTGGGCACGGCCAACGACTTCATTGGTGAGGGCCGGGGGGAGGTTCTTCGGAGGGGAGGCCCTGGGGGGCTCGGCTGAGCGGGTGCACACTTCCACCAGGCGGGCTGCAGCTGAGCATCAACTCTACCGGGGAGAAGCTTCGGCACTGGAGCGAGTGCCTGGCCCGCAGCGACCGACGCCTGGAACTGTGGCACCCGCTGGACGGAGCCCCTCCCCAGCTTGGCGACTAGGAGGCCGGCCTGGAGGGAGCCCCTGCACAGACTTTCTGGGGGGCACAAAGGGGGCAGGGACACTCGGCTTTTCCCTCCACTCCCCTAATAAACACTGGTTTGGTGCAGGGGCTGTGCTGTGCCCATTTCTCAGACTGCGGGCCTGTGAATACCGCCTGTCACCAAGAGGACCGATCTGGCCCCATTACCTCCAAATTGGAGCACAGAGCAAGGGACCTTAGGTCTACCTTGTGGCGCCAGGGCCCAGGGTCTCCCAGGGTGCAGTAGGCAGGGTCAAGATCTGATCCTGGTCCCTGCCCTCCAAACCCAGCGAAAGGCTGGCCTGAGGCCTGGCGCACTACAGGTCAGTAAGCAGAGGCCAGGTACATAGAAACTCAGCAGCGGCCCGAGGGCAGTCCTGACTTTATTCACACAGACCAGCCCAGGAAGGGGGAGAGGGGTGGCACGCTCCAGCCTAGGCGGCCTGGCGGGCTGAATAGCCTTTGGCGAAACGGTGCATCCGATCCTCAAGCTCTGGGCGAAAGTGGCGGATCAGGCCCTGCTCAAAGAGGGACGGGTGGAGCTCAGGGGCAAGGCCCACCCAAAGGGCCTCTGCTCACACTTGGGGGCTGCATCCTCCATTCCTTGGGTCCCTGCCAGCCCGGGGGCCAAGTCCTCCATTCCTTCTCCCTTCACCAGCCCGGGGGCCACGTCTTTCATTCTTTGGGTCTCTGCCAGCCCGAGGGCCACGTCCTCCATTCCTTGGGTCCCCCCCGCCAGCCCGGGGGCCACGTCCTCCATTCCTTGTCCCCCTGCCAGCCTGGGGGCCACATCTTTCATTCCATGGGTTCCCCCGCCAGCCCGAGGGCCACGTCCTCCATTCCTTGGGTCCCTGCCAGCCCGGGGGCCACGTCTTTCATTCCTTGGGTTCCCCCGC